ACACCGGTGTCCGCAGATGCTTGACACCGTAGCCCTCCATCATGTCTGCGAACTGCTTGGATGTGAATTGCCTACCATTGTCGGAGTGTATGACTTCCGGAACGCCGAACGTATGGAAAACTTCGTTCACCAAGAAGTCGACGACGCTCCGTGCAGTTGCCTCTCGCATGGCCTTGAGAAACGTGAATTTGGTGAAGTGGTCTACCACTATGAAGATAAATGCGTGCCCCTTCCTTGATCCGGGATATTTGCCCAGGAAGTCTATATATAAGTTCTGGAACGGCCTCTCCGTGGCGACCTCGGCACCGATTCCCACCTGCATCCCGTGATTGGTGGCTTTCGTCTCCTTGCAGACTACGCATTTTTGGACCATCTCAGCAACGTCTTTGGCCATTCCGAGCCAATAAAACTGCCGCCGTAGCCAGGACAACGTCTTCAATACTCCTCCATGCGTTGACGCCTCGGTATGGGCCTTTACTATAAGCATGCCGGTCAGCGCACGCGGGACCCATAGTTTCCACGCACTGCCTTCGAGCTGATCTTCTAGCCGATTGAAGGATGTATTTTTGTAGATCCCTCCGTTCTCAATTTTCAAGTCAGGTAATTACTCCCCTGACTCAAATTCTGCCGTTTCTATACCCAACAGGTCTCCTGGAAGGAAATCCAACTCCTCTAAAGATTCGGCTTTGGTGCTCCTGGACAGCATGCCCGCCACGATGTTGTCGGAGCCCTTCCGATGAGTGATTTCAAAGTCGAAGCCCTGCAGCAGCAACGACCAACGTGCCAATCGCATCATTTCGATGTATGGCCGGAATTTTTGTATCGCCAATACCGCCGCCAAGCATTCCTTCTCGGTCACCGAGTAGTTTACCTGGTGCTTATTCATCTTAGCCGAGAAGAACGCAATGGGCCTCTCGTTTCCCTCTAAATCCACTTGGAACAATACCGCTCCGACGCCAATATAGGATGCGTCACACTGCACGAAGAATGGGCGTGAAAAATTTGCATGTACCAGCACTGGCGCAGATGTGAGCGCTTTCTTCAACGCATCAAATGCTGCGATAGCTTCGCCACCGAGTGAGAACCGGCCTCCAGATCGCTTTTTCAAAGCCTCAGTGAGCGGAGCCGCTAAGGTGGCAAAATCTCTATATATATAAAACAGTTTGTCCTGACTGACTGACTGACTGATTGACTGACTGACTGACTGACTGATTGGCAATCAACGCACAGCCCAAACGGTAAGAGCTAGGAAGCTGAAATTTGGACACAAGATCCCTCTTATAGTGAAAGTGAGCACTAAGAAGGGGTTGCGGAAAATTCGAGCTCCAAAGGGGGGAAAACGAGCTCCAACGTTTGTATGAGAAATCTACAATTTTTATCCGATTAACTTCAAACTTAGTTTGTATACTCTCACAAAGAATACAAAAAAAACTGTATACTTGGATTTTCAATATTTTTCCTGCGGCCTGAATAATAATGATTTTCCGGTGGAAAATTCGGTAAACGAAAAGCTATTTGCAATCAACGCACAACCCAAACGGTAAGAGCTGGGAGGCTGAAAATTGGACACATGTTGTCTTCAGTGGTGTAGGTGAGCACTAAGAAGCGGTTTTGGAAAATTCGAATTCCAAAGGGGGGAAAACGAGCTCCAACGTTTGTATGAAAAATCTACAATTTTCATCCAATTAACTTCAAACTTAGTTTGTATACTCTCAAAAAGAATACAAGAAAAACTGCATTTCACCATTTTTCCTGGAGCATGAAAAAGGGGGGGTTTTCCGTGGAAAAATTGAAACACAATCAACACCCCACAGCCCAAACGGTAAAAGCTAGGAAACTGAAATTTGGGCTCAAGTATCCTATCATGGTGTAGATGCGCACTAAGAAGGGATTTTGGAAAATTCGAGCTCCAAAGGGGGGAAAAGTAGCTCCAAAGTGTGTTTAAAAATTCTGCATTTCTAAATCGATCAACTTTAAATTTGGGTTTTATAATCTATTAAAAAATACAAACAAAACAGCATACTCGGTTTTTTGAAATTTGTGTTGGAGCTTGAATTATTGGGGTTTTAATATTTATGCATTTTTTCAAATGACAAGTTTGTGTTATAAATTTTGTCCGATCGATTTCAATTTTGGGTAATATAATCTACGTAACTAAAATTACAACTTTGCATTTAAAGATTTTTGAAATATGCATTTTACAAATGCAGGCAGAACAAACAATACAAAATATCAAACAGTTGGGGACAACTAAGTATACATACACACACACACACACACATACATACAAGCAGCTGTTCGTGTAGTTGCGTGCAAACGGTTGAAGTAGCCAAAGCAAAATGTGAGACGCTAATGTGTGAATGTTCATTTGTACACATGTATGTACATACATACATACATATGTATAAAAGTACATTCGTCTTGCACTGACAGGGCAAGAAATGTTAATTAATTAAAAATTATTAACATTATAACATAAACATTTTTATGTTATTTTTTCTTTGTTTAGTACATTTGGCATAAGGGGTTTTTAGGACAACGGACTACAAGGGCGTACGCATGTTGGGCAGGGGGGACATTGCTCCCCTTAGAAAGAATTTCGCATTATGAATTACACCAGCACCATATGTATTACATACGTACATACATATGTACATACGTCTGTATGTATAGTATGTACATATGTACATCAATAAGTATGTATGTACGTACATACATTCTTATATACATATGTATATAGGTTTGTATGTATGCAGTGGGCCATCGAACACTGTTGTTTAATTGTAATAAATAGTGTTCTATGGTTTCAAATCGAAATTTTTAAAACAACAACAACAAGTTATTGGCTCGCAAATCTTTCGTTTTGATCATTTACGGCTGTTAATTGCATACGCAAAATGCCAAAAGTTTACAGTTACCGTACACATGCAAATACATTTGTATGTATTTATGTACATATGTGTACAGTGAACAATCGAATACAGTATTATAATCAATAACTCTCAAACGATGTTTTTCGATGTATTTGTATTCGACATGTATTACGATATATCAACACAAGTATCGATATTTTCGATATATCGCATTTAATTTTATTATTGGGGTTTTAATATGTATTCACTTTTTCAAATGAATAGTTTGTGTTATAAATTTTGTCCGATCGATTTCAAATTTGGGTAATGTAATCAACCTAACTATATGAACAAATTGGCATTCAACGATTAAAATATAGCAATATGTTTTTTACTTGCCATATATCAAATATCAAATAGTTGGGAACAGTTCGTGTCTATGTGTGCCCATGCACACATACATATGTACATGCATATGTATGTAGCATGTACATACAAAACAACAACAACAACTTCAAGTTGTTGGCTCGCACATCTTCTTTCGTTTTGACCATTTAATGTTAATTGCAAAGGCAAAACGCCAAAAGTTTACAGTTACCGTCGCTAGGCAACGACTGCGTAAGCGATAGTAAAGCAGAAACCGAATAACGGAGCTACGCATATTCTGCTTCGCATTGCGGGCAGATGTATGTATGTATATGATTTGTTCTTATTGATCTCAATAAATAATTAGATTTTGTTATTTAAATATTCTGCTTATTGCATTCAAACTTCGATATTTTGATGGTATCGGTGGCTTCAACTATCGAAAGTTTTACCCTAGCAAATTGAGATGAGAATTGTCAGTGCTTTTTGATCGTGGCTCATCGCTGCACGGCATTGACACGAGTGCCGTGTTTCATATTCCGAGGTTGTGCGTGACCGTATTGACTCAATATGGCACAAAAAGACTCAAATGTGAATTTAAAATTAGGATATACCCTTATAAATATTCCCCTTTTTTGCACAGAGTCTATCTTAAAACGTTACGTTATCTCTATATATAAAACAGTTTGTCCTGACTAATTGGTGATCAACGCACAGCCCAAACGCTAAAAGATAAAATTTGGACTCAAGTATCCTTTCATAGTATCCATCATAGTGTAGGAGCACACTAAGAAAGGCTTTTGGAAAATTCGAGCTCCAAAGGGGGGAAAACGAGCTTTAAAAAATATTAGTTATAGTGGTCATGTTCGTTTAACGAAATAGTTTGGGAAGCACAAAAATGTAACGGACTACTGAACAATTTTTTGTCAAGAACAGAAAATGTTCATTTAAATACCTTAAATGCCTTCCTACTGGTAACTTACTTATAAGGTGAAAACATATGGGTAGGTTATGCACTTACAAAATAAATACAATTGGAATCATTATATTGAGCCGGATTAAGACGGGCAATACCTGCTAGTCTTTTATAAATCGCCTGTACCACCAGGCGGTTCCTAGGAAAGCTCGAACCTCCTTTATGGACCTTCGTACTTGTATGCGCTGTATCGCCCCCACCCGTTCCGGATCTGTTCGAAGTACGCCGCCGCCCACGATAAATCCCAGGTATTTCAATGTTTTAAAGCAAAACTTTGACTTTTGTAACCCTATCGTCAGATTTGCCTTCTTGAGGCATTCAGCGACTCTTTGCAGGTACTCCAAGAGTGTATTAAAATCAGCCGCGAAGACTACCAAATCATCCAGATACACTTTCACGTTGCACCTCAGCTCATTTGGTATGACCTTATCCATCAGTCGGCACAACCTTTGAGCGGCGTTACACAATCCGAAAGGCATCATGCGGAATTGGTACAACGGTCGCCCTGGTACCGTAAACGCAGTGCACCTTCTACTGGACTCCTCCAACTCCACTTTCCAAAACGCAAATTTCAGGTCTACACTGGAAATATAATATGTCTGGTCCATTCCAGATAGGATTCCCTCCACGCATGGTAGCGGATAGGCATCTTTGACTGTCAGCTTGTTCAACTTGCGGGCATCGAGGCAAAAGCGGTTCTTGCCCGGCCGTCGCACTATGGTGGTGCGGTTACTCCACGGACTATCGCTTACATCGATGACGCCAAGCGCCAGCATGCTGTCCACCTCATCCCACACAATCTTCTGCATAGCGGGTGATAGAGGGTAGTGCCTGTCTTTCACTGGCTCTGCTCCGCTGACCAATTCAATACGGTGAGTCTCCAAAGTAGTCTTGCCTAATCCCGTTTCTTCGAAAGTTAAAAATTCGTTTTTTACTTGTTCCAATTTCAGCTTTTGTTGTTCATTTAATTCCCACATATCTGGTTCCGGCTTTACTTCATCCTGGTCCACATAATGCGCCACTCTATCAGCTAGCAATTCATCGAGGACAAGTCTTTCAACGGCAGGCTTTTCCGGAGGAATTAATCGTGGAGCCAAATTAAACAGCCGCCAAAAGTCGATGCCGAAATACGCGTTCTGCCCGAGCGATGGGCATACATAAAACTCCACCTCTTTGGTATCCTCTCGATACTTTACTGGTAAGCGCACCCGCTCAATTACGGCTCGATCTTCACCGCCTACTGTTTTCATTATTGAAATGTATTTTCTGGGCACCACGCTAATCTCTTTCAGCAGTTCAAGACTGCCCTTGCCTAGCACGCTTACCGAGGCCCCGGTATCCAGCAAACCGCGTAACACATGGCCTCGTACCAGTACTTCGGCAAAAATCCTCGGGTCTGCTGCTCCTTCGCGTCGCACTGCCTCGGCTACCAGCTTCTTCGTCTGCCTTCTTACTCGGAATCGTGCTCGGGCCTTTTTAACTTTGGCGGTCACCATCCTCATGCCATCTAACTGATGTTGGGCGAAGATTCTATTGCGCGCCTCCAGATATGCCCTCATCCTCTCTTCGTACGGTAAAAATTTCAACTTATTACTATATTGGGTATTTTTCTTATCAAATTCTTCTTTCAGGACCGCTCCGCTGTCATCCTGGTGGGCACCTGTGTCGAGCGCGATTCGCCCATTTGCTCCGCACTCCGACGGCCGTTTCCCGTGCAATCGGGGCATGTTGGCCTATAGGTGTCGGGCCTGCCACACCTATAACAGAAAACTATGGCCGGCTTGTCTGCAGTTCCAGCAAACTAACTCCTGCTGCGGACGCCTTGCCAAGCGCGCCTCTTCAACTATGCCGAAATCCGCCGACTCCTCGCCGTTCGTGTCGTCGACCAACTCCTCCACTGCCGGTGGACGGTTTCCGCCACTAAAACGTGTGCCGCTGCGTGTTGGGAACAAGCCTTCTCGCCGCTGGACCATAGTTCCACCTCTACGCATTCGTCTCGTCAGTGGTCTACCGTGTACACGCGCATCGCATACACATACCGAGATAACTCTGTTTTCAACCCTTTTTTGATGTATATCATCATCTCGTTCTCAGATGGTGCTGGTTGGAGACGCGACGCCAGCTTCCTCATGGCATGGAAGTACTCCTCAACGCTTTCGCTTGCCTTCTGCCGTCTTTCGCGCAATTGACGCATGCGCTGGAATTCGTCGGCGGCGCCTTTAAAACGGGACAGCATACTTCGTTTTAGTTCTGGCCAGCCGTCTGCCCGGTGGTCCCTGACGTACTGCCAGTACCACTCGCGAGCGTGCCCAGTTACTAACAGATAGAAACTGTTTAATACTTCGGACCATGCGCAGCGACACTGCCTCTGAAGGAACTCTACCTGGAAAACGAAGTCTTCTACCGCCATTTTCTCCTTGTCGCCGCTGAAAACGATGTCCCACTTCTCAACGCGACACCATCCTGATCTGCCATTCGCCGCTGCATACGGAGGAGGTGGGTCCAGCTGACCACTCCAATCGTTACGCCTGTTGCCTCTTCGACGGGCCGACTGTGCCGACTGTTGCTGCTATTGCCAGCTCCACTGGAGGAATTAGCTGCCGCTGGCCTTGCTACCGGACGCGAACCTCCTCTTGTTGGTGTTAGAGGTTCAGCCTGGTATTGATGCGGCCGTTTTGGAATCGCACCACGATTCTGGCTGACTGGCGGTTGCCATGCTCCATTTGCAGCTGAATCACCGCTATTCGCTCGCGGTTGCAGTACTTCTTTCAGCGCGCCCATCAAGTCTTGAAACCCCATTCGGATTTCCTCCTACAACACTTTGTTGATGCCCTCTTTTTGCGATTGGCGGTATGTTTCGTTCGCCTGGACCACTGCTGCTTCTACCGCCGACGCGACTACTGGCTCGGCGTCCCAGTGTACTGTTGGTGCTATGGACGGCCTCTGAGGAGTGTGCACAAGGCCACCGGTGGAAAAACCGACAGCTCCTTCAAGGTGTTCTTCCAGATCCTCATTTCTGGCTGTTCTCGACCTGGTGTTATACGCACGCGCAGAATCCTTCTCCATGTTAAATTTAAAATCGCTCTGTTTTCTTTTATAATATTTATTTGTAATTTAGATTATAAATTTGTTCAGCTTTCAAGCCGGCCCCGAAGCAAAACTCGTATTAATTTGATAATTATATATACACTTGCCCGCATAACTCTGCGTACACACAAAAAAATAGACAAATTTTAGCTTTAAATGTGAATATCTTTTAATATATGCAACTTATTGATGTAAATGTTTTTGATTTGCTTAGATTCGACATTTTTCTTAGTAACTACTATTTTTTAATATTAATATAACAATGAATATATTTTATTTCTATTTTTTAACAAAACCTTTTTGAAAAATGGACCCGCAAAAGTCGGCGTACAAATTGTTTTTCAAACAAATTATGTCGCTAAATTTGTTTTTAATAACTTGTTGGGTATCCTTTTCTTTGAAGGACCTCTGCCAGACGTCGAGGCATCGATTCCACCAGCTTTTTTGTGTCCGCCGGTGTTATTTTCTCCCATTCCTGCAAAATTACCTCCTTGATCATACTTTTGGAGGTAATGTTGTGCTGCCGAATTCTGCGCTCGAGCAAGTCCCACAAATGCTCTATAGGATTGAGGTCTGGAGATTGGGGAGATGTTTGCAAACGTTTTTTTACGTTTCCCAGCAACCACAGCCTTACGCTGTGAGCTGTATGTTTGGGATCATTATCTTGTTGGAAATAAAAATCTTTTTCCAGCCCCAACTTCTGGGTACTTGGGAGCAAATTGTCCTTCAAAACTTGGATATAGCCTTTTTGGTCCATTATCGACTCTATGAACTCCAGCTTCCCAACGCCATTAGCTGCCATGGACCCCCAAACCATTATTCCTCCTCCGCCGTGTTTGACAGTTGGCACTAAATTTTCTTTATTTAAGGCTGCACCAGTTTTTCTCCACACCAATTTCTTGCCTTTTATGCCAAAAATGCAGAACTTGCTCTCATCCGAGAAAATGACCTTGTCCCAAAATTCAGCAGGCTTCGACACGTGCTCATTTGCGAACTCCATGCGCTTTTTTATTCACCTCTGAAATATGAGGCTTCCTACGTGCAACTCGGCTGTGATATCCAGCTTTTTTAATAATTCTTCGCACGGTGTCTTCAGATATGGTTTTGGAGAACCTTTCTTCCACCTCAAATCGCACCTGCTGAGCAGTCATCCTTGGGTTTAAGCGAACTAAAGCAACGATACGCTTTCCCTCTCGCTTTGTGAATAGAGACGGACGCCCAGATCGTGGCTTTGATAACACAGAACCCGAGTAAACATAATTATTGAACACCCTCTGACATGATGAATGAGTTCTGCCCACCACCTGCCCAATTTCTCTATAAGATTTGCCCTGGACACGCAAATTAATTATTAATTTTCGAAGGTCAGTGTCGATCTCTTTACCTGATGGCGCCATGGTTGTGATTGATCAAAAACAACTTCAATGCATAGCAAAAGTCTTTTGCAAACTTCAAACAAAAGAAAAAGTGCAACTAAGCATCTCCGACCTCATAAAGTATATATATTCTGAATTTTTTTTTTAATTCATTGACGGAAGGTTTTGTTAAAAAATAGAAATAAAATATATTCATTCTTATATTAATATAAAATAATATAAAAAAAAATTTAGTTACTAAGATAAGAAAAATGTCGAATCTAAGCAAATCAAAAATATTTACATCAATAAGTTGCATATATTAAAAGATATTCATATTTAAAGCTAAAATTTGTCTAAATTTTTGTGTGTACGCAGAGTTATGCGGGCAAGTGTATGTATGTATAAAGAAAAACGGAAAGGTTTGCGAACGCCCAAACAAAAAAAAAACAAATGGGCAAGAAAATGTGTACGTTGATTATGTATGTTAGATAAATAAATAAATAAATATGTACAACAATAAATAGATAAATATGTGAATAGGAATAAATAAATATAAATATAGTAATAAATAAAAACCAAAAAAATCTGTAAATAAATTCACATCCAACCTTGCACTGAAACCAAAACCATATACTCTCAAACACAAGAAAAATGTAAACATATGTATATGCACCAAACGTAACCAAAAAACTTAATAAAATGTAAGCACTAAAAAAACCAACTTTCTTTTGAACTTCTGTATATAGGATCCGTGTTTGGGTTCCGGCTGAGACTCACCCTCAGCCGGAACCCAAACACGGCTCCTATAATATCTACGCCTGTTACAGCTGCCCTACGCCACTATCCTGCAATATTTGTTCGCTGCTACATTTATCGCCTTGACGGCGATGAACGACAGCCAACAAATTAAATGGTTGCTTCTTGACACCCACTTCTGTTATGTGCACCATCTGCTCTGGCTCACCGTGCGTAGCGGTGCATCGCAGGCGACTTTCCTTGTCATCCTGGGCCACCGGTACTCTAAGTCCACCAGGCAAACACGATGACACCATAGCGACAGTGCACCAACGAATTGACGCAAGAAATACAACAAAGAACACAGAAACGAAAAGCGCATTGGAATCCCCTTATAGCACACATTGCCTAGCAGCGTTCCTAATGGCAGTCGCAAACTAAGGGCTTACATCCGCACCTTCGTGACTTACTGTCCACGTCACACACGCTTGCAATTGGTGCTATACGGGATTCCGTCCCGTCGGCTTCATACTCCTTGGCATTCAAAATTCAAACATCAATTGGGCGCCATAATGTTACGACTACGCTTTTCCCTTGGGCAACGCCGGCTGGCTCATCGGAATTCTCCTTGGGTGTGTGGTTCCAACCCTATGCTCGCGTGAGTCGCACAATAACCGATAACACGGTTCCTCCATGCCATCACTTACAATAAATTCGACGCGCAATAACAAAACAAAATTCAAAATGTAAACAAACCAAAAATAACTAACATGACACAAAAGAAACACTAATGTAACAAAAAAGAAACGGATCTACACGGATACGGACTCAAAAAAAAACAAAAGGAACTACATCTGTTTGTGCGGACGGACAGGAATTGGTGGCATATTCCATGGCAAAGGTGAGTCTCCCGCCCCTACTGATGCTGCTTTAATGCATCATCATCAACGGTGCGACCATTAAAATTAACAATTAATTTTCAGTTTATGTGGCTACAAACATACATATATTTGAGTGTGATTGAGTGTGAGGTGCAAACAAAAACAAGAATTTATTACTGTGAAGAAGAATTTATATAAAACAAAATAAAGAAGGCTTGCCAACGGCCAATGCGGTTCTTTATGTGCGCCAACATGTAAGTATGTTTATGGCAAATAAATATGTATATAGATATATGTGTATGAGAAAATATGCGCGGTACAAAAAATTATAGAAATATGTAAGTATAACCAAACCCTAACGAGAGCTCTCGACGGTCATAGGCGCAATAGAAATATTAGACTACATATAAAACACTGCGCGCTACTGCAAATGGCAAT